GCGTCGAGGCGCTGTGCTCTGCCTGGCGGGGGAGGGGGGATGTCCATGCGAAGCCGATAGGTGCGCCCGGAGCGGGAGCCTGGCCCGGGTGGCTGCCGGTGGCACTGGGCGCGCGGCGTCGCCGGGTCCCCGGCTCCGATGCGTGGGCCTGGCGTGCCGGGCGGGGGTCCGCCGTGAGCATGGGGCCGATCGGGCCAGGGGGCGGGGGGTGGGGGCGCAAGGAGGCTGCCATGGCCGGGGACCCGACGGCCATGTCCGTGGGCGCCGCACATGCACGTCTCGCCGCGCGGCGGGTCTTGCGTGCGCGAGATGTGTGCCGATGGGGGTGAGGGGGCCATGGGCCGGTCGGAGCTCTGGGCGGGTGTGAGTGCGTGGGTGGCCGGTGTGCGCCTGCCGGGGCAGGGCATCGCCTGGTTGCGGAGTGGTGCGCGAGGATGCGTGCGGGCGCCCGGTGGGGCCTTGGGCTGGTTGCCGGCCTGCCCGTGCCCGACAGTGGGGGGTGCCGCCGGGGCACGAGCGGGCCGGCCGTGCGGGTGCCCGGGTGGCCGAGATCCGTGGGGCGGGGCATCGGCGCGTGCCCGACCACCGGGGTCGTTGTCTGCCAGCCAGCTGGCCAAGCGTGGCGGTGCTGGCCGGTGCGGGCGCCTGGCGGGCCGATCGAGGCGTGCTTCGATCCGGGCGGCCCGGGGCTGCTCCTGGGCGTGGGGTTCGTCCGCGCCGGGGTGTGGTCGCGGGGCGTGGCGACGGGATGCGTGTGCGTGCGCATGGGGGGGGTCTGGCGGACCGGTGTGCGTGCGGTGGCTTGCTGGCTAAAATGCGTGTGCGCGCCCGTGCATGGGCGGTGGGCTGCGGGCCCGCGTGTGTGCGCGTGTGCGCCCGTGCCCGCCCCTGTGTGCGCCAACAGATCGCTGTTGCCCCTCCCCCCTGGCTGGGCACATCCGGGCGGTGTCCGGCCGCGGGGCAAGGTCCTTCTCGACACACGGGGGGCAGGGGCCCTTGGCAGTGTCTGCGCAACGGCCGGGGAGACCGGCTATGGCTATGGGGGAGTATGGCCGAGGATTACGGGCATGCCACCATGGGCCTGCGTGTCGTCCGGCCCGGACTTGCGGAGGTGCTGCCAGGAGCGGCCGCCGGCACCCGGATCGGCGTGGTTCACGGGGCGCAGGCCCGGGCGAGGGGTGTGCCGATCCGGCTATGGGGTTATGGATAGGGGGTCCTCTGCCGGGGGCCCGAGGTGCGGCATGGCGGCGGGGCGTGCCCTTTTTGCACGGTGCCTGCCACGAGAGTCGGGACTGGCCGTCTGGGGACGGTGCTTGGGCGCGACGGGGGTGCCGGTCATGGCCCCGCCCGGTCCGGCGAACACCCGGCCGAGTGGGCTTGGCGGCTGTGTCGTG